CTGCCTAGGCAGGGGGTTGGACTAGAAGACCTCCAAGGTCCCTTCCAACTCTGCTATTGTATTGTATCCCTCACTGCTGTCTAGCTCTGCAGGTAGCTGATAACTGTCAGATGGCCTTGGGCCCATCTCTGCCTTCGACACAGAGCCCTCGTCCGAGCCTTCCCCAGCCTCCGGGACTGGCCCATGCTCCTCTCCGACCTCCTCACTGTCCGACTCTGCTGCCAGCTCTGCTGGCAGGGCACAACAGTTGCCTGATCAAAATTCAGACACTTGGCAGCTGATTCATATTTATGACGGGTGCAGTGTCCCAAGGTCATGTGATCCAAGGTGCACAGAATCTAGCATTGAGGGAGGAGACGTGACTGTTTGACCTAATGATGCCATTATTATTATTATTATTTTCTCTTTTGTATTTGCAGCACAACGGTACGATTGATTGGTCATCCCTGACCAAGAAGGGATGCTTGGAACTTGGAGGAGAGCTCCTGGGGAATAACTGCAAATACGTCCCTGACATCACCCTCATGTCTTGCATTCTCTTTTTGGGAACCTACACCTGCTCCATGGCTTTGAAGAAATTTAAGACCAGTCGTTATTTCCCAACCACTGTAAGTCATGTGATTGATAATAGTTTCCCCAGCTATTTCTCCAGTACATCTAGCACCATTGGATCAAGGTCAAGATTTAACTTCGTATATAGAATAGAAAATAGAATAGAACAGAGTAGAATAGAACAGAATAGAATAGAATAGAATAGAGAAGGGAATAGGAAATAGGAAATAGAAGATAGGATAGAATAGAATTAGAATTAGAAGAGAAGAGAATAGAGAAGAGAAGAGAAGAGAGAATAGGAAATAGGAAATAGAAGATAGGATCGAATAGAATTAGAATAGAATAGAGAAGGGAATAGAGAATAGGAAATAGGAAATAGAAGATAGGATAGAATAGAATTAGAATAGAATAGAAAAGAGAAGAGAAGAGAAGAGAAAAGCGTATAAAGAACAGGAAATATGAAATAAAAGATAATAGAATAGAATAGAATTAGAATAGAATAGAGAAGAGAATAGAGAATAGGAAATAGGAAATAGAAGATAGGATAGAATAGAATTAGAAGAGAAGAGAAAATAGAAAAGAAGAGAAAAGGGTATAAAGAACAGGAAATATGAAATAGAAGATAGGATAGAATTAGAATTAGAATAGAATAGAATAGAGAAAAGAATAGGAAATAGGAGATAGGATAGAATAGAATAGAATTAGAATAGAATAGAGAAGAGAATAGAGAATAGGAAATAGGAAATAGAAGATAGGATAGAATAGAATTAGAAGAGAAGAGAAAATAGAAAAGAAGAGAAAAGGGTATAAAGAACAGGAAATATGAAATAGAAGATAGGATAGAATTAGAATTAGAATAGAATAGAATAGAGAAAAGAATAGGAAATAGGAGATAGGATAGAATAGAATAGAATTAGAATAGAATAGAATAGAATAGAGAAGAGAATAGGGAATAGGAAATAGGAAATAGGAAATAGGAGATAGGATAGAATTAGAATTAGAATAGAATAGAATAGAGAAAAGAATAGGAAATAGGAGATAGGATAGAATAGAATTAGAATTAGAATAGAATAGAATAGAATAGAGAAGAGAATAGGGAATAGGAAATAGGATAGAATTAGATTAGAATAGAGAATAGAGAATAGGAAATAGGAAATAGGAGATAGGATAGAATTAGAATTAGAATAGAATAGAATAGAGAAAAGAATAGGAAATAGGATAGAATAGAATTAGAATTAGAATAGAATAGAATAGAATAGAGAAGAGAATAGGGAATAGGAAATAGGATAGAATTAGATTAGAATAGAGAATAGAGAATAGGAAATAGGAAATAGGAGATAGGATAGAATTAGAATTAGCATAAAGTGGAATAGAATAGAATAAGCCGGAAGGGATCTCGGAGGTCCTCCAGTCCAACCCCCTTCCCCCCCCCCCCACTCAAGCAGGAGACCCAATACCATTCCAGACAAATAGTTGTCCAATGTCTTCTCAAAAGCCTCCAGCAACGGAGCCCCCACAACTTCTGGAATAGAAGACAATAGAGCTGGAAGGGACCTCGGAGGTCTTCTAGTCCAGCCCCCTTGCTCAAGCAGGAGAACCTATACCATTTCAGACAAATAACTGTCCTCGTTTCAGCTGTTCCTCATGGTAGCCGGTAAGTGGGGAGGATGGATGGTGCAACTCCAAACCTGAGGGCCAATGTGGTAGTTGTATCGTGGCAGCATACCTCTCTATTGTGAATCACACAGCGTGAGTATTTAGTTAAGGGAGGACTTGGGAGAAGACACTCAGTCCTGTAGGTCCCTAGATTCTCTCTTGATTGTTTTCTTGCAGACATCTCATCACCCAACTAGCTAATATCATCAGTGTTACTGATACCACCTAGTTGAGTAATGAAAGATCTGCAAGAGATCACAAAAACAAACCTCACAGTTCTAAACTACAAATATTATCTTCTATTGGTACACTTATTCCTGTTAATCCAGCTTTCCTTGTGCCTTATAAAGAAGAAGTTAATAAATGAACTTTGTTCAAGTAGCAATGTTACTACCTGAGTATTTTTTTTAACTTGGCATGGTTCCCTGCATACTGTGGTAAGCCTTAAGTGGACTGAGATAAAAGATTGTAAAGTTGCAGGGAAAAAAAACGTTTTACGACTTCCTGCTTTGATTTATGAAGTACTGAATACATTTGAGTCCTAAGCACTGAGATAACATTTCTGGGACCACACCCAAATTAACCAACGAGGAATGATTAGAATTTTGACAATAGCTTGCCATGTTTAGAATGATATCTGGTGGATGGAAAGGTACGGAAAGAGTATTTTAACAATTGTTATTATTCTTTCTTAGGTGGGGGATAATAACATTTTGTAAAAACTGAGCTTCTCTCTTAATAAAATGCCTCTTTTTTTGGCACGGTAACATTAATGGGATCTTGGAGTCCTAGTGGACAACCACTTAAATAGGAGCCAGCCGTGTGCAGCAGCTGCCAAAAAAGCCAACACAGTTCTAGGCTGCATCAACAGAGGGATATAGAATCAAGATCACGTGAAAGGTTGATACCACTTTATAAGACCTTGTTAAGGCCACACTTGGAATCCGGCATTCAGTTTTGGTCACCACGATGTAGAAAAAGATGTGGAG